AAGGGGCTGTTAGAACTGAAATCACAAATGCTGCTTCTTGAAGCAAAGGAGTAATGCCAGTATCTTCAAATAAGAGGCTCATGACCTCAATGCAGACAGACACCAGCAAAAGGCATGATCACAGTCTGTAAGTTAGTAGGCTATTCTTCAATTTAAGAATTTTAGTTCAATTGTCTTACAGTATTTCTCTTTCCTGGCAAAAATTTCTGTAACAGTAATTTATGTGCTGATAAGTACTTACGTTCAAGGTTTTGTGGAAAAATGTCAGTAGCAGAAACACCACAAATGCCATAGTGTTTAAAATGTTCCATGATTTTCTTTTATTCATTTAATTTCTTCTTAATCAAACATTATTACTACTGGGCTGCCTGCCTCTGCCACAGTAAAATCAGCAGGTTAGAAAATAGTGGGTAAAAACTGAGGCAGTATATCCTTAGGCAGAGAGAGACAGTGAGAGCTAAAGCACAGCACTGGAGGGACAGCCAGTAACTAGAAGGACTTAATAGGAAAGAAACAGGAGAGGGAGTAGAAACTGGGAAAAGGGCAGTGCCCTGTTACTGGAATGGAAATAGAAAATGAATCCTTAGAGGACACTAGTTAGATATACATGAAATAAATAAATATAACATTAACAATATATGAGAAGTATGCTGTGTGTTTTGAATGCCAGAATAGCCTGTTGACCGATAGGAACAGTAGAGAAAGAGAGAAAGTAGTCACCTTTAGGTAAGTATGTTTGGCTCTCATCTATTAAAATAAAATAACATATTTGTAGATATGAAATATGCCAATATGTACCTCCACACATAACAAGCCTAAAGCAAGACAGAGAGAATTTTTTGCGAAGATAAATAAACACAAAAGAGAGACAGACAGACAAATGGGAAAAAAGAATAAAGGAGGAAGCATTGAACATTTAGCAAGGGGAGTGGGGGGGAGAGGATTCATTTTGCATCACTTTTCTTTGCCAAACCATAAACACAAGGACACTCAACAGTTCATTCTTACTCAATGTTTCCACATTTTTCTGCTGTTTTCCATAGGTGGGGCAAAAATGACAAAGGACTGAGCCAAGTTTTCCATTGGCCCTGATATTAATATGGAAGCGCTTCTCCAGTGTGTGAGATATCTTATTTTTGCTTTACCTTGTGGTTTGAGTCTGAGTTTCAAACTCGGTATTTTTACACTTCTTTCCTCTGTAGAATGAGAAAATCCTGAAGTCTGCAGTACATCTCTTGTTTGCTTTCACCAGAACCTCTGGGAGTGACAGGCAGCAGGACGCACCGTGGCTGAGGTCTGTGCGTCCCAGAGTTACTGAGGGCAGTGGCCCCTCAGAGAGCTGGCTCTGCAGCCCACTTTGTTTTAATTCCAAACTGAACAGGTCAAACACCAGCAGGGAATCAGGAAACCCAGCAAAACTCCGCCTCATGGCCATTGTATACTCCTATGTCGGAATCAGAGGTTTTGTGGAAAAAGTATAGACCAAGAATAGTTTTTTCCCATTCAGCATTAGCAACCCCAACAGTTTAAAGATCATGAGTCAAGCCTCATGCAATCACTAGGGTGGTTTAAAAAGGAAAATATTTTAAAATATTACCTATTAAAATCTTCTTATTTGCCTCTTAGCTTTTGAACCTCTATAGCTTGTTTCCAGCAGTCAGAAATGTTTTTTAAAGATAGTAAATATGTTAAAACCCGTCCCCCACCAAAAAAAAAAAAAAGGCAGTGGTTACAGGATTCTAGGAGCCAGAATTTTAAGAAAAACTTCAATGATGGGCACTATAGTATGCATGATATTGGAAGATATGGCAATGCTTTGAGCATTCTCTGAGAGTTACTCCTTTTCTTGATGAACTCTGTCGCTGAGCCATAGATTGTTTTAGCACAAGTTAAAGAGCAAAGAAGAAAAGTCCAACCACTTACCTTTTGGGCCATTCAGCTTAGCAGTGTCTAATCACATGACATAAACCCCCAAAAACTCGCAGATATTCGTCTGTAAAAAGGAAGCTTTAAATATCTGATCAGATATCCCACAGATTTGAGAGAAATCTTGAGACAGGAAAGTCAAGAGAAAGGGGCCTGAGTCCATTGTACCCAGTATGAATGGCTTACAGCTTTAACTGTCACCATTTACCCATCAAAGGGCTCTGATTTTAATATAACACAACATCATGTCAGCCTCTTACGGGAACAAGTAATTGTGCAACTGTGTTACTTTTAATTAATGCACCATACCACAGCTCGAGTTGCAGTAAATGTTGCATCATTCTTGTTTCCATACAGGGAATGCCATGCCCTGATCCCAAGGTCAGCAGCAAGTTTTTTGGTGACTTGAATGGCTCAGGGTCATGTCTCAAGTGAATACAGGATTCAGCTGCTTATTTCTGGGTTTTTGGTAACTTGATATTGCTGTGTACATAGTCCGGGAAAGGCCATGTGCAGGGATGCAACATTGTAACAGCTGGAAAGAGCAGGGGAAATCACTTTTTTAACATTCTTGCTGAAAAAAAAGTTCTGTTTATCTACATTTTTCCCTCAAGGTGTGCCACGGGGGAGTTTAATGACAAACAAAACCAAAACGGAAGTCTTAAGCAATACTGCAAATATTACAAATGTTATTTATGAAGTTTCTCACTTGGACATGCCAGGCTAGGGTTGTAGCGTGCAGAATGTTTGTGTTACCAGAGACATGAAACAGTGGCTCTCTAAAGAAAAATAGTTATTTGGACAAAATCTATCAGTTTTGCCTCAATACTTTGTTCACTAACGTACTCGCATAATTCACCTAATTTCATTTATCTCATACAACTGTTCAAACCAGGCAATATGGCCAGACTCTAAAGAAATAGGCAATGGAAGAAGGGTAAATTATCAAAATGTCACTAATACATCCTAGCAATAAGCAATGTTTGCACTTAGGATTTAATTAATTCAATTAACTGTATGCAATATATTAATTACACATAATTCAATTCACTGGCCATCCAGCCTCCAGGGTTTCTCTATTACTCAAAACCAGAGATCTTCAGGATCACTACACGGAGCTTCTGTAAAGACAGCGTGAACTAGATCCAGTATTGGTGTTAGGTCCCTAAAATACTGAAATAGTTTATATTTTTAAAAAATCACGACCAGCAAGTTGACAGTGATACGGCTACCTACCACAGAGCTAATGGGAGAATGATGGAGCCAAGGGTGTTTCTTCTCTGGCAAAGGCGGGAGAATGATGGAGCCAAGGGTGTTTCTTCGAGCTTGTTCTCTGGCAAAGGCTGAACCCTCTCTTCCAGTCTGTATCCAAAGGGTCCATCCCGTGGATGTTCATGTGAAGTACACCCAGGATGAGCCTGCTCAAGCCTTCATCCAGAGGAATCGTGCTCAGACTGTATGTTGTTCAGTAGGCATGGGGAAGAAAGTTGTTCCTTTCCTGCACCTTACTTTCAAACAACCTATACACAACGACAAGTCCTTGGAAGTAGGAAATTTGGATTGAAAACCCTTGGAAAAGAGGAAATTTATTTCGCCTCTGCTTCAATGACTAGGTTGCCTTCATCAGCCACTTTTTATAAGGGACTCAGTTCTGTTAGGCATGTTCCCGATGGTGGAGCTCCCCCCTGCCCCATTTGGCTAAGTGGGGCTGCCAAACTGAAACTGAGGAATGCTTCATTTCCAGATTCCCATCAAGCTGAGAAATGAGACACTTTTAAGGTAGGACAGTAAGGTTTCTGAAGAGTTCAGGATCCCTGAGAGAGTAGCTGTAGCAGGGGTATATTTGGATTATACTTTGTCCTTGGGTTTTGCATATTTCGTTTATTAGAATTGACATCAACTGTTTTCTTTCAGATAAGAAAACAGTTAAATACTGTGTCTTTTATATTTTTCACTAGTTTATCTGTATTTGTAGGCAACTATAATGACTAGAATGAGAAACTGCTGATTTACGAAAAACATTTACATCTTTATCTGAATGTACCTTTGAAATCACATTCCTTTCATTAGTGCATGTAAATAAATGACATTCATTAAGATATCTCTAAAATTCATTTAATTCAGATCTTCATTATTGTCCTTCGAAGACAGCAGATTTTTAAAGGCAGAAAATGTTAAATCTTTATCTAGTTCCCATTCCCATCTCTGAAGGATTGGTAAGGAAACTGACTCTCAATATGACTCTTTGTCATGTTACTTAGTCATTATATTAAACTGACCTCAATATATTCCTTTAAGGTTGATGTCACTATTACAAATTTTGAAAATATAGGCACACTAACTTATGGGGTCACATATGAGGTTTATAGATTGTGTTGTACTTCTGGAATCAGACTCTGTCATTTTCTTAAATATCCTAGGAATATTGAAAGGAAAAGGTTTTGTAAGGAAATATCCCAAATGCAATGCTTTGACTATGATGAGAGACACCCTCAGTCTTGCCATCACCCCCATTCCACAGATGGAGAAATTCTGGCAAAGAGATGGTAAGTTTTGGTCAAAACTGGTAATACCAGAGAAAGGTCCTGGCTGTCACACTGTTGTGTCACTCATGAGATTATATTTCCACTCTTGAACTCAGAGGTATATATTTGTATTTATCCATTTCTAAAAACGACATTGGAAGCCTACCTTGTTATTAATAAAAGTTTGGATTAAGCTTCTCAACAAGTACTTAAAATCTCATTTCCTCTAGGGTTTTTGTGGGCCAGTTTTTTTCATATTCTCTTTATGTAAAGTGAAGATCCACAAGTCCTCTATTTAAGAAAGGTATTACCCTTGCTTTCCATCCCAGGTATTAGTGCTTCTAATAAAAATAACACCTGCTTTATCAGTCAAATATTTCAAGGTCTTGGAGCATAATCTAAAGTGATAGGTACAAGGCATTTGATACACAAATGGAGTAACTTAAAACTTGGGTTTCAAAGTAAAAATTCATGTAAAATTAAGCTGATACTATCACTAGACATTGGATCAATTTTATTTATATAACATTATTATGTTTTTGACAATTTATTGGAAACATCCAATTATGTAGGCAGTGGCATCTGTTACAGCTAGAGATTGAAAATATGGGTTAATTAAAAGCAGGCTATCTATCCAATCTGAGATGTCTGTTAGCACGTCATCAACAAGGAAAATGGAATGGGAAAAAAACCCAACCCAAACTTAAACCCCTTTTTTAATTCAGGTATTATTACTAGTTTGAAGCATGCAAGACAGCCTACATTTTTTAGCTACTTGACTTTAAGCACTTCTAAAAGTCTTGGAGCCAAAGAAAAAGTTGGAAGAGTGTGAGGAAAGAAAAACAACCCAGCTCCAGTATTTTTGCCAGTCCTGCTGTTTGGAGACTCCCTTCACCATTTGTATTTAATTTTCCTATCTTAGTACAAACCATCTTTCCAACAGCTCCTGAAAGACAAGACGTGCATCTCTCCTGAGATCACCCCAGCAGGAAATTACCAGAAGTTAAGGGCCCAGTCTTGCAAATATTTTGTCACGTGAGTAATGTTAGTCAATGGGATACCCATGTGGAAGTACGGGCTTGATCAGTATCTACACTTGGCAACTGCAGGTGTTCTCCTTAAATAATTTAGCCTAAACTGCATGTCTGCATTATACAACACATACATTGGCCAATTGTTTTGAAGATGTTTCAACTCATACTAGTTCAAGTTATTTTATCATGCTGTTTTTAATCATTTTCTTGCCTCGACTACTCATCCACATGTAGCTGTATGTTATGAACACCGAATTGGGCATGACATTGAGATTCTGGTGCAATTCAATCATTACGGAAAAACTGACATTTCACATATGTTTACATTTAGCCTCGATAGGAAGACAGTCATTTTATACCAGGTTAGAACAGATATGATTTTAATTATTCCTCTTCTAAAAAATAGTTTTCACATAGGATTATTAACAAAATCACTGCAAAATGCAATTAGTTTTACATGGTTTCTAAGCCTTTGTAATCCTTTGAATGTAAAAATATATATTGTGAATTAATACTTTATTTAAATTGGGGGGAAATTAAATATTTTTTTAAAAATCAAACAAAAACGTCCTAATGAATCTTTCAAACCTTCATAGGAAATCACAAACCTCTCCTATCATAAGCAAAATGATTGTGATTCAGTAAGAATCATGGTTGACTAATTCCAAGGAACTTCGAAGGTTATTCCAAAGTGTTGTTTCCGTAATTAAAGTGATGTTAGATCTGCTCTTTCAGTGATGTTTATCTTTGGATGAAGTGATCCGCTTCATAATTTGGATTCCCCAGAATGCAGCGCTGAGGGAAAACAAGACCTACAACACAAAATTTCAAATGAGAAACATTATATAACATTTTTTAAATTATACTTGTCTGTAAATATAATGAATGGGTGAAAACACAGAACTCTTGAGTAGAAAAATTACACAAGAATCCTAGGTACACTGACAAATTCACTTTAGGAATATATGCTTTCTTTTTTCTATTATTCTTCATTGTATACATTCCTGTTTGATTTTGTTCTTTCTGAATGGTATCAAAACAAGGTAACTGGCAAGTCTGCATGACCTTCCCTATTCAGTCATCAAGGTTGGATCTGCAGTACTCAGAATCATATATAATAAGACAGGAAAATAATAACACCAGTTGTGAGAGAAATTATGTGCAAAAACATTAACTGCTTTTTTGGCAAATGATCTGAAGAATGCTAACATTGCAAGGGCATGGTAGGGTGCAAATACCCGAAATATAATCTATAGCAAAAGAAGTGTTCTAGCTGCACTACAATAGATCAGTACTTGTTCCCTAACCTGCTATTTATGATTAGATATAAACTACATGGGAAACAACTTAAAGATGCAATACTCTTTATCTTGTCCTTGACTCTGCACATCGGTTTTTTTTCCATGAGTAAATTTTCATGAGAGATCTAATAATATTTTTTTTCTCATTAATTTATTTGCTGAAAACTTGGGATGAGTAGGAATTAAGCAAATAAAGCAGAGTAAAGGGTAAAGTCTAATTCAGATAATATCATTTTCCAAAAACACAAGAAAGAGAGCAGGTTAAAAAATGTGTGCCCATTTGAGTATGTGAAATTTTGTATTTTAAATTTCCTGAAAGAAACCTTTGTCTTTCACTTAGAAAAAATTCTTTAACTTAAGACAGCTGTTATGGGTTACTGAACTAAGTGAATTTTTTTACTGTGAGTTAAACCAAAGATATTTTGTTGGAGTGTGTTCTTGTTGTTTGAAGAGACAGAGAAAATTGAAGAGAAAAGGAATTTTGGAGTCAGGTTATGATAATTCTTCTTCACAGACAGTCTGCAATCAAAAGGTACTGACTAGGACACATCCAATTTTAACATTAACATCATTTAACATTCACCCGAAAATCTACTTCTGTCCTCATCTGCACCATCATTCACCAAAGCACATGAGATTTGAATGGCCAATATAAATAATAAATTCCCATAACACCTAAAAGGTACAAATTCTGCATTCGTTGAAGGCAACATGAAAGAATCAGGTCTGATCCCTCTCAACCTACTTTGGAACAGGTACAGGTTTCACATAATCTATGCAGTACATACTTAATAGCATGAGGTGGAAGTAACACAATGTATCAGTAAGTAGAATTCCAACCAAAAAAAGAGAAAAATAATCAAATCACCATTCAACCTCTATCAAAACAAACTGCCTTCAACTATTTTCATTCAAAGCTTTAATTCTACTTGAGCAAGGGTGGGTTGTCTACTGTGTTTAAAACTTCTGATGACACTGTAGGTGCCGTATTTGTGGTCCCAAGACTCATAAAATTCTCACCAAAAGAGCTACTTAAAAGAGTTTCAGATCTTTAGGGATGAAAGATTTCAGTTCTATTTTTTTTTTTTTCTTGCATTATCACAAACACCTTGTAAAACTGCTTAGCTCTATGTTAGAGCTATGGAATAGAAAGACATTTTAAGCAGTGCTCCATGTTTTGTGAGGTGCCTCATTTCTATGCTGAGATGCCCCATAGAAGAAAAACAACTACAAATATCTACCTGTATTTCTGATTTGGCTCTTATGTAATTGAGATGAGTATTAACCGTGACATACATAAAATGATGGCTTACATATAATGTGCTCTTACTGTGGAAAAATTCTTTGTCGTGCTATCTCCAGAAACAGATCTTACCCACTTGTCATAATTAGTACTTCTCTGACACATTACTAAACTCCTTTCATTCCTCACCTCAGAAAGATCACTCCTATTCCTGGAAGATGCATTAAATATAGAAGTATTTCATTTTCAGAAGAAGCACATTTAATGACTGAGGTGCAGGGCATTTGTAGGGGATTAATGACTGCTGGGAGATGATGATCACCTGAAGAAGCACAGCCATGGGCCATTAAGCCCCAGGAAATGTCCTCAGCTAAAGATAGTTATTGCTATTATAGCCAGAAAATGAAAAAAACATCTCGGGTGAATTTTTCTTTTTAAAACAGAGTGATGCAGTTTCTTCTTTCTTAATTAAATTCTTTATTGTGAACTTCTTAAAGCATGCAATCAATGCTTGTGGGGGCGTATTTCAAATTGCAGTTATTACCTCCAGAATGAAAAAACCACATACTGCACATTGTGGATCTGCAGAACTAGTTTGGCTTCATGATTCTATAAAAGTATTGATTCACTGCCTATCAATGTCAGGACTGCCAGTACTCGATGGAAATAATGTATTCATGAAACAATAACGTTGCAAGGTTGTGGGGGACAAGGTTTGAGAAAAACCCAAACATCAGGGAAAAAAATTAAGGGGCCACATCCTCCTGTGCAGGACAGCAATTCTGTCTGGCTTTACTGCTATAACGCTGACCTGCCGAGGAGAGCCAGCTGAATGGGGCTACCAAGCAGAAACTTGCTGTGTAGGTTGGAGTTCAGTTTCTTTTGATTGCTGCTACATATTTTGGAGTTATAACGTTTGACCCGCTTGAATGAATGGTGCAATCAGGTGATGTCAGCAATGGAAAGCCGAGACGGTACGTGCCAGAATTTTGAGCAGACAAGACTGTAGGCAGCAGGAAGCAGCAGAAGAGCATTCCACCAGGCAACCTGAACTACAGTTGACCGATATTTCTCTAATGCCCTTGGGAAAACATATTTCCTGAATCCTATGTGCAGATATTTTGCAGTTTCTGTTCAACTCTCTCACACCCTAACAGGTTGGTTTTTGGCTTTAGGGTTGGTTGTTTTTTTTTTTTTTTTCCTTTGCAGTTTCTAAATTGTCACAGAAATTCTCATTTCTTCTTGTATTGTCCAAATCAACTAATATTTTTCCTAGATAAAAATATTCGCATACCATATTCCTAATTTAGCCAGCTTTAACATAAAAAGATGTTAAATAGTATACTTTTTTTTTCTATTTTTACACTGAAGAATTCCCCCCCCCAACAATATTACATTAGAACAGTAGTTTCACTTCTGTCTTCAAATGAAAAATTACTGTGGATGGGGGTCATATATGGAATAGCTAGGCCTAAAAGCAGAATTTCTCACAACTGTATTCCCAGCAAAGTTAAATGCAAACTTTTTGCCACCTTAATATAAGCACTTGTTACATTTACCTGTTCAAGTAGCTACAGATTAATTATAGACTGTGCTTTAGACTGTTGGAAGATGACAGTCCTCTTCCAAATATTTACATTACTTCCTTTCATACAGTCTATTTCCATACAGCCTCTAACGAAGCCTACAGAAATGTAAATAACATTCTTCACAGCAACAAAGGTTACTAACGAATTGACTGAAGAACTGAGTCTGCTCTTCACAGGAAATCCCCACTGGAGTGATCGAAGTTTATTAAGGCTGCAAAAACCACTTTGAAATCATTAGCTAAATTCAGGCACCCACTTCTGCATGATTAGCTTTGTTGTTGATCACTAATGTTATTTTCTGCCATTTTCTCTTTTGTATATCTGAGTTGCCTAGACATACTGTCTTTCCTCTTGCAGATTTTGTCTGGATAGAATTAGAAGGCTTTAGACATCAGTCTAGAAATGTAGACAGATGTCCAGGTAGCCCTGCTTTAAGGAGCAGGAAGAGGCTCAAACCACAAGACCTATGATCCCTTCCAAGCTAAATCAACTCTTCTCTGACTTTTCTCAGATTCTGCCCAGACGTGTTCACTCTAAATTTAGTTGCAGAGAGAATCTGCAATTGTGCAAATAATTGACTATATCTAGGGTACAACACCAAACAGGCACGTTTTTGATATTATCTGAACACCTCTGTGCTGGGTAACACATTCCTTAAATTTGCCCTTGGCTGTTCACATCATAAAGTGGACCCGGTATTGGCAAATGTGATAAGCAATGAACCCTCTCATTGTGATGAGAACTGTTTAACAGACAGAGCTAATCAAACATGATTATGATTCTTTTTATATTCTTTATCTACAAATCTGGACATGGCTTCTTCAAAGGCATCAGAAATCATTTCATACTATCGATATTAATGATAGAGTAATTTTTATTTTATCTATTTATTTATCTATTTTATTTTATTTATTTATTCTATTTCATCTATTTATTTATCTATTTTATTTATTTATTTTATCTGAGATGGCTACGTCTGGGTAATGTTGTCCTTTTCTACTAAAGATGGAGAGCATGAACTGATATAACAGCTACTGAAAAATACTAATATTAAAAAAAAGAAAAAAAGGTTTGAATAAACTACAGATTTTACAAATACCTAACTGGTGCAGTTTTTGCTAATACCCTTGCTGTTTTCCCACTTCTAAACACAGGATTGCTTCAGGTGCTGAGCTACCATCTCAGAAGTGGGGAAAGTGGTTCACTATTTCTGGAAGTCAGGCTTTGGATAATAAACACATGGACCTTCATTCGCAGCGCAATGTCTTGAGATGAGCTGTCTGAGGGTAGTAAAGCAATGCCATGGCATTAACAGCAGATTCGGAAATCACTTGTACAGTGCACAGATCAAGAAGATTGCACTAGCAAACACGTTGCAATAACCACACCTAGAAAGGGAAACCAAGAAACAAGATGGTTCCTTATCTGCTTGATGCCTTCCATATACTTGGAAATATCTGGAGAAAGGACTGGGAAGCTGACTTTTTGCTTAATTTTTTTTTTTTTTTTCCTGAAGGAACTGTGTATAGAAGGGAACAGGGACACCCATGACAGTAGTGGCTTCACAGTCTTTATCTATGATTTCTGCAAAAGTAGCAGGAAGTCTGGAAATTCTCCATAAGGGTTCATGACACACATTCAGACTATTGGTGCAGCACGTATCTCACAGATTCAGTGTG